GGCGGCGGTGGTCCCGGCGGGCTGTGCAGCCTCTCAACGGGGACGGTCCGAGGACTACATCTCCCAGGCTGCTCTGGGGCCGCCCTGCGTCGTGACCCCGGCGCGCACGGAGGCGGTGACTCTTACCTCACAGAGGTAGCTCCTCCGCCGGCAGCAACTTGGCGCCTGCGGTCCATGGACCGGAACCCCGGGCCGACGGGCAGGAACCCGGGCCACGATCGCCTCCTCCCCGGCCCAGGCTCCTCCTCCTCTTTCCCCACTGCCCCCTCCGGACGCCCGCTGGCCGCGCACCTCAGCCGCCGGCCTCGCGGAGCCTCTCCGGGAGGCTGGGTGACGAGTTCGTGGCCGCCGCGGGACTGAGGCCTACTCCTCCGCCTCTCAGTGCTATTGTCCCTGGGCCTGGCCGAGCGCGCCGGCCCCGTAGAAGATGCCGGACCAAGCCCTTCAGCAGATGCTGGACAGGTACTGACGGCTGGGGGACGAGGGGGAGGCCGTGGTGAGACCGGAGCCGCGGACCTTCGCTCAGGCCCTGCCCGCGCCCGGCCTCGAGCTGCCAAAAGAGCGGAACCTGGCCAGCGGGGAGAGTTCCACAGTCGGGAGCTCTGGGAGAGGGCGGTAAAGTTTTGCTTCTTACTCCGGAGAGGCCAGAGTGGGCGGCCTGGATCAATGCCTTAGAAACTTAGTTGAGGAGTGGCATCTAGTTTTGTTTGCACACGGTCCTGAAGAGCTCGTGTTTACCCCTGGAATGAATTTCCTTTACCTCCCCCCCTCCCCCCTCCCCCACGTGTGTTGTAAAGTGGTCATCTGCCGTAGCCCCGGGAAGAACGAGATTGTCCTCCTGGGAAATGACTCCCTACTCATTTGAAGCCTCTTTCCTCAAACCGAAACACCAGGGAGGTATTCTTTGGAAAGCCTGATTTCACTTCACCTCTCAACCCCCATCCCGTTCCCACTCACAAACTGTAAGGTCAGAGGATCCTCCTGGGATCCTTAACGGTCATAACCAGAGTAGAGGTTATGGAAAACAGCCACGAGTCCACATTAAACATTTAGCACACTTGACGAATCATTGCACTGAAAGTTTCTGTTTGGCCTGGGGCCACTTTGCCCATTCCTGGGGGTTTCCAGTTGGTGAAGTCTGATGCTTCTCCCTCTGCTGTTGAAATTCTAGGCAATGAGTTCTAACGTGTTTTTGGCGATTTGAAATCCATTTTCCCTTGCTTTCTATGGTAGTCAATTGTATGAGGTAATCTATGATGTTTGTGGTTGATTGCAACTCTCAGTAGACCTCACTTTCCACCCTGTTCAATCTTTTTCATACTGAGAAAAGATCCAGCTGTAAGGTGTTAAATGAGGGTCTTTCTTAATTGAGATTATTCCCAATTAAACTCTGGCAAGGGACTGGGAATGTGCTCAGTGGTAGAATGCTTGCCTAGCAAGCGTGAAGCCCTGGGTTCATTTCTTCAGTCCCACATACACAGAAAAAGCAGGAAGTGGACTGTGGCTCAAGTGCTAGAGTGCTAGCCTTAAGCAAAAGCAGCTCAGGGACAGTGCCGAGGCCCTGAGTTCAAGCCCCAGGATTGGCCAAAAAAACCCCCAAAAACCTGTGGTAAGGTTGGCCACACCCAGAACACAAATCATCTCAGAGTACTGCTGCTTAGAGTTTTTTTGACACATCTAAGTTTATAGATGTCTCTGACTTTTCAGTTGAGATGATTGTCCAGCCCTTGTTTCAGGTCATCTGACAGTTGTTTTACCTAACACTCCATCCACCGCCACCCCCTTTTGTTTTTGGAATGGGGCCTTGCTGTGTTGCTTAGGATCTTCTTATTACTGTCTTTAATGCATTAGCCTCCCCAAGGTGCACATTATAGGTGTGTACCTGGGTTTCCACTTTATTTGTATATACATGCCTTTTACACACTCCTGGAAGGAAAACTACTCATGGTTGTTTATCTTAAATCCTAGAATAGAACTCAGTGTGTAATCAGAAAATAATTGTTGCATGAACTAATTTACGAGCTTGTCAGTCTCAGGATCTGATCATTTGTTAGCTTTTGTTGTAGCAGCAGCATGCTGGCAGGTCATGGCGTATAAAAATATGTTCAGCAAGGCACCAGTGGCTCATGCCTATAAGCCTAGCTACCCAGGAGGCTGAAAATCATGGTTTAAAGCCAGGGCAGGAAGTTCCATGAGACACTTATCTCTGATAAACCAGCTAAAAGCCTGAAGTGGAGCTGTGGGTTCAAGTGGTAGAGCACTAGCCTTGAACCAAAAAGCTAAGGTCCTGAGTTCAAGCTCTAGTTATCCACTCCCCCCCCCCCACACACACACACAGTGTTCAGAGACATCCTCCTGCCTCTTCCAGTTAGCTCAGAGCCTATTACTGGTGAAAGTGGAAGGGCCTCAGAACTTAAATTTCAAAAATATTTTATAATTTCTGTTAATTCTAAGAATTCTAAGGGATTTTCACTTTTTTGTGTGTGGTGATTTTTAGAAAACATATCTGTAAGCTGTCCTGATTTCAAGTATTGTTCAGAGGTTTTATAAAGTGAAAAAGAAGTGAAGCATTTAAAACTTCTTAAAGGAAATTTAGACATTCTACCTGCCCTTTACTGAAGCAGCTGGCTGTGACATTGCTAAAGGTCAATTTTGTTTGTCTTTGTGGGAATTGAACTCAGGGCCTGAGCACTGTTCCTAAGCTCTTTTTGTTCAAGGCTAGTGCTCTACCACTTTAAGCCACAGCTCCACTTGTAGTTTTTGAGTGGTTAATTGGAGGTGAGGCTCACAGGGACTTTTTCCACCCTGGTCTGGCTTCAAATAATGATCCTCAGATCTCAGCCTCCTGAGTAGATAGGCATGAGCCGTCAGTGCCTGACCAGTTTTTTCTGCTTATGTAATGAGGAGAATCGAACCCAGGGCCTCATGCATGCAAGGCAAGCACTCTACCACTGAGCTACCTTCCCAGCCCCTGGCCAATTTTTTATTGTGTTTGGTTGTGGGACTTGAAATCAGCCTAGGCACATGAGTCACCAGTACCTGGCTTGTTGTTTTTCTTTTTTGTTTTTTTTACTGTTTTGATTACTGATGATGGAACCCAGGAAATGGAAAATGCTAGGAATATGTTTTACCATTATCCCCAGCACTAAAGGTAGATAGCGTTTTCTTTATATTTTTTTCTTTTTTAGAGGGAGAGGGCCGATTGTTGGGCCTGAACTCTGGGCCTGGACGCTGTCCCTCAGCTCTTCAGCTCAAGGCTAGCGCTCTACCACTTGAGCCACAGCGCCACTTCCGATTTTTGTTTTTGTTTTGCTTATGTGGTGCTGAGGAATTGAACCCAGGGCCTCATGCATGCAAGGCAAGCGCTCTACCACTGAGCCACCTTCCCAGCCCCATATATTTTTTTCTTTATGTATATATGTGTATATATATATTTTTTTTGGGGGGGGGTTCCAGTTGTGGGGCCTGAACTCTGGGCCTGGGCGCTGTCCCTCAGCTCTTCAGCTCAAGGCTAGTGCTCTACCACTTGAGCCACAGTGCCACTTCCGACTTTTTTCTTTTTGCTTATGTGGTGTTGAGGAATCGAACCCATGGCCTCATGCATGCAAGGCAAGCGCTCTACCACTGAACCACCTTCCCAGCCCCTCTTTATACTTTTGTGTATGTGCCGAGTGTGTGTGTGTGTGTGTGTGCGCGTGCGTGCGTGCATATATGTGTGTGTGCGTGTGCATGTGTGCGCATGTGTGCACGTGTGCGTGCATGTGCCAGTACTGGGGCTTGACCTCAGTTTCTCAAACTCTTGCTTAGTTGTCTTCACTTAAGACCGGCCAATCTACCACTTAAGCCACACTTCCACTTTCAGCTTTTTGTTTGGTAATTGGAGATAAGAGTCTTCACGGACTTTTCTGTGTGGAGTGGCTTTGAACCAAGATCTTTAGATCTCAGCCTCTTTAGTAATGAGGTTTACAGATGTAAGCACCAGTGCCTGGCTTTTTTGTTTTGTTTTTGAGACAAAGTTAGACTAAGTAACCCAGACTTGGCCTGGAATTACTGTGTAACTCTGCATAGTTAGTGCTAGGACTTCAGTGTGTAAAGAACCTCCACACCCAGTTTAAAAGTAGATTCTTAACATGACTTATAAAGACCTTCATTGCCAAGGTCAGGAGTTTACAACGCAACTCCACATTAGAATCACAGGGCCAGGCGCCTGTGGCTCACGCCTGTAATCCTAGCTACTCAGGAGGCTGAAATCTGAGGATCACAGTAAAGAGTTTGATTTAGCCATTCCACAATGTGTACATGTTGTATACTTAAATACTACAACTTTTACTTATCAAATAAAAAGAAAAACATTTCTTACCTGACTAATCAGGTCATAAATCAGCTTTCCTTTTCCTTAGAATTTAAAATTTAATACATATCCTGTGTGATATTGATAACAAAATAGAAATTAATAACCATTTTAATTTTTTTCTTTTTTTGGGGGGGGTCCAGTCGTGGGGCCTGAACTCTGGGCCCTCAGCTCTTCAGCTTAACGCTAGCACTCTACCACTTGAGCCACAGCTCCACTTCCAGCTTTTTTCTTTTTTGCTTATGTGGTGCTGAGGAATCGAACCCAGGGCCTTGAGCATACAAGGCAAGCACTCTACCACTGAGCCACCTTCCCAGCCCTTATTTTTGTTTTCTACATTCAGCACCTTGCTGTTGAGGTACTTTTCTTTTTTTAATTTACCTACATTCATTCTGGGGGCAGATTTCCACAGGTGTTTACAATATATTCCAATCACTCACCCCCTATATCAAAATACTATCTTTTATAAATTCCATAAACTGGTAGTGATTCACAGCATTTATTCTCAGATTCCTAATGTTTCTTTTTTCTTTTTTTTGGGGGGGGGGTCTGGTCATGGGGCCTGAACTCTGGGCCTGGGCACTGTCTCTCAGCTCTTCAGCTCAAGGCTAGCGCTCTACCACTTGAGCCACAGCACCACTTCCGGCTTTTTCTTTTTGATTATGTGGTGCTGAGGAATCGAACCCAGGGCCTCAGGCATGCAAGGTAAGTGCTCTACCACCTTCCCAGCCCCTCCTAATGTTTCTGTATAGTGTATTGATGGTACTTTTTAGAGTCTTTGAAATATTGAGTATCGTATTTTTATTATGTAAGGAACTAAACAAGTGAGACATTAGTTTGTTATAAAGTATTAGTAAGTCTAGATTTTTGACAGTCTTACAGATTACATTGTCTTTTGTGGTAGAAGCATTTTAAATTCTCACTGGTGGGGTTGGGAAGGTGGCTCAGTGATAGAGCCTTGCCTTGCATGTGTGAGGCCCTGGTTTCGATTCCTCAGCACCACATAAGCAGAAAAAAAAAAGCTGGAAGTGGTGTTGTGGCTCTAGCCTTGAGCTGAAGAGCTGAGGGTTAGCTTCCAGGCCCAGAATTCAGGCCCATGACTGCCACTCCC